GGAGCAGTGGAGCCTCTGAAAGGCACTATTACCTTGTGTTGTGGCACAGTTCCTGCAATCTCTGAGTTATATTGCCTTTCGTGAATTTGGCCTACCTGGCATGGGCTGAATAATTGTGTACTCAGTCCCCACTAGGTACTTTCAGTAGCTCTTCTTTATAAGGGTAATAGGACGCCCCCTCCAGCGCCCTACCTACATTATGAGCTGCCATGTGTGTGCCCCCAGTGGTGCTAGTCTTGCAGATCTGTACAATTGCCATCTCCTTCAGGACCTGTGGTGGAAAATCTGGGACTGGTCAGCATGGGAGCTTGTACCGTGACTAGTGTGGAACTGGAACTAACTGTCCAGAGCATCCAGCCAGGTAAGAACAACCGTCACTAGTGCGAGGTGACAGGTATTGGGCAAAGGGCATCACCAATCTGGTCTCACCTGTACCATCATTTAGGAAGGTGTTGAAACCAATGTGCTGGAACTGAAAGCTAGGAACTGCCATCGGTGTTAAGGTCTGTCCTTGGGTGCTGCTTATTAACTTCATGATTGAGACCCTGCTAGAGACTAACATCTTTTCCCAGGCATTAGTGGTGTTCCTTTGCTCATTGTCAGTGTCCCATTACAGCCAGCTTGAATTTATTTGAATGCTATGGTTTCAAAAACACCTGATCTTGGCATTTTATCTTCAAATTTTTAATGTTTGGATCCTATTTGGAATCTTTTGTAGGCAATAGCAGGATGAACTCGAATGGATGGTCAAAAGTCAACTCTAGGAATGGAGGGAATCTGTGATGCTGCTCAGATGCCTTTTTATTTCAGGATCAAAAATGGATCTGAAGGTATTACAAAGCCATGGTTATATCTGCAAAAGGGGAAGCTTGGGACCTGTGGTCCAAGTGGCTGGTGGAGAATGGTAGTCTGTCTGTCTGCCTCCACCATGAAGGGGAGGGCATTTATTTCGGAGTAGACTTGGAGACAGAAGGTAAATATCTAAGTATTGTATAAGTCAGTGCACCTTCAAATCTTTACCCTTTCTTGCTTCCTGGCCATTTCTTTGCTTTGCGGACGTTACTGGGAGCACACCTCATGTCTCATTCACAGTCTTCAATACCTGAGTCCAAAAGAGGTGCCTAAGGAACTAGTATCCCATTTCCTGACTCCACATGTTGGAGAAGAACATCAGGGTGCTTCGTTTAACCCCCTCTCTACCATTGCTCCCCTACCCCTGTACAAGCTCTTTAGAGTTTGCTACAATATCATTTAAATGTTTGCGTTCTTTCCCAGGGCCAGCAAGCTTCCTCAGGGGTCTCTGCGGAATCTCTCTGTTAACCTGACCTCATCAATAGTGCTGTGAAGAAAGAGGCAACCCAGGACTTCAGGCTTTTCCTTCTCCTGAGCAACTTTCTGTTCTGGCCAACTCAGACACTGCGCATGGAGGCTGCCAGGGCTCAGGCCTCAGTACTCATCAGGACTCTTTACCATTTGTCAATGGTGCCGGCTGGAGGGGGCCTGCTAACTGGCAGTGCCAGCGAGGTCTCTCTTTTTCTTGGCCTATGTAAAGTCATTTCTTTTGTGTGTGGTCATTTATTCATTGCAATGTGGGTAAAGACATTTGACAATGTGACAGAGGGAATTAACGTGCTAATTGGAAGTATGCACTATCCTAAGATGTTCCTATGGTGACTTTGAACCTTTAGTCTCAATGGGTCCTTGTCGGTCCTATAGTTTTCTATTGGCACACGTTTCGTGGAGAAGGGGGCATCACACAACCTGAAGTTCGCTCACCTTAGGTCAAATTCCAGATTTCTTTGGAAAGAGACCCTAAAGTGTCTATCTTTTACTCATTACGTTGTCATTCATAACCTTTTGATTTGTCACTGTCATTGGTTAACTTACTTTTAATCCTTAGAAGATGAGAGTCATTTTTATTTTCCACCCAATGTAAAATTGAGGCCTGAGATCCATGGAAAAACTTTACCCCAACCCATGTAAGGATGGCTTATTTCTTACTCAAAAGCCCTTGTGAAACTTGAGGTAACTGTGATGCTTCCTCCCTGTTACACTTGCACATGTTGTGCCCTCTGCCTCTGCAATGTCACCTCCATCTTTGGTCTTCTTGTTTTTTGTGAGTGGGGAAGACTTCAAGGAAGACTGAAATGCGTGCCTTGGTGCATAGGTGCACGAAGTAATAGTATGGAAGGAGCATTCTCAAGGTAGAGGATGCCAAAAGGGCGTCTCCCTAATTGCTGGCAGTCCCACGGTTCCAAGCCTTCCTTGAAAGAGAAGGTGGACCTCCACAGAATTTAAGTTGAGACTTGGTTCCCTGGACCTTTCCCAGGAGTTCATTCTTAGTACAGCCTTGTCACTTAGTTTTTTCTGGTATGTAGTCATTGAGTATCTACTCACTAGTCATAATGGTAATGTCATGTAAATTCTTGGTGTGCATTCTTTCACATTACACTCCAGTTTGCCTTAAAGTGCTTTCTCATGCCTGTTTCTTATATGAGTGCTAGGAAGAGGGTGGATTATATTGGCCACTACAAGGCAAGGCCTTAGACTGAAACTCTGTGGATTATTTAAGTAGAGGGAGATAGTTGATTTTGCTACTAATTGATGAAATGGTACAACATACATAAGGGCTGATGTCCTCACTTTTCATCTGGTTGTGAAATGACTTTTCAGATTACACAGTTGCTATGCGGTCATGTACAAAGAGGAGCGATTTCAGGAGAATATAATGAAATTTAATCCAGTGAAATCCCTATTTGTTGACGTACACTCACTGTGACCATTTTGTATGATTTGCAGTGAGGCTTTTCCCTGACAGTGCCTGTTTTGTAGGTTCTGACCCTTCTGAGGACTGTTTATGAAGTAAATTTCTGGTTTCGCACCGAGAAATTTGAAAAAGCCTTTGATACTGTTTGTTACCTTACAGGCACAATGTCAGCCCTGAGAATTGAAGGCCTGGATCTCCCACCTTAAATACCAACTCTTGTCTTCCTGGTGCCTAAGTGTCTATGCTTGAACATAAGGCACAGGCACAGGTGTAGGCATTAGGCATGGAGAACAATGCAACTGATTGTATTTCCTGTAGGACTGGTTCCCTGTTTGGCATGTCCAGTCATGTAACTGGGACAGCACTGGTCGTTTTGAGAAGCACCTTGGGCTACTGGAAATGATGGAGATGGTTGTGACAATGATGTTGATGGTAGTGGTGATGAATCTAAAATAAATAGCGTGGGCTATCACTGATGGAAAGGTCACTAGAACCAACACTGTGCTCAGTTCATTGGGTTCTCACCTCATCCTCTAAAAACCATGAGTTAAATGTACTGTTATTCCCATTTTACAGAGTACATTAATGATTATGGAACCTTGCCATGGTAACAAAGGCAGGATCCTTTAGGAGGAGGAATAAGATCCAGCTTCAGATGGTTCTGAATCCTGTGGTGTTAATCACAGGCTGTGAGAACCTTTAAGAATGTTTTTGGTGCATAAAAAAGTAATAATTACCCCAATCTCCCTCTCCTGTCCATGCTGGTCCATGTGGATATCCAGAGGTCACACTAGGTGTTTCTGTAGCAGTAGAAATATGTGCTGATGACAATGGTCCTCAAAAGCCAGGGCAATACACCTTCAACTAATAGATTTCATGGCTGGATCCACAGCCACTTTGATGATCTGTCCTTTGATAGGAAGAATTATAGTGGTTCGAGGGTGAGACAGGGGTAGAGACTTCTGTGATCAGGAAAGATGGAATGACACATTGGATATGGTTGCTCCATCGGGGGCCTATTGACTCTAGGTGGGAAAGGGCGGGAACTATGGCCCTGGACAGAGGTGCTGGGAGAGGTGGAGGCTCAGGAACTCTGGCGGGAATGTTATCAGAGGCTTTGTGTGTTCGAGGTAGTGTCTCATGCCCCTTCGCCATGCCTGGCACTGCACCAGAGGGTATTGTTGAGTGTGACTTGGGAAAATCTGGCTCTTGGGCAAAGATGAGACTTTAGTAAGGGGGCAGAACTTGGCTGTCCATTATGAATGTGAATTCTGAACTTCCCTGTTAGTGAGTGTTTAGCAATTTCTGGCTCATTAGGTGCACTTCCTTAGCCTATGGCAAAGGGCTTGGAGGAACGTGTTATTATATGGTATCATCATAGATTAATCTATGGGAGTCTTCTGTGAGGCGCCGGTGGTTGTTTCTGGGGTACATTTCTCCCTTGGATGGCCTCACCACTTAGTCTTTCATGCTGATAGTGAGCTGTGTTCACCAGCAGAGACCTATGAAAATGGACCTTGCCACTGAGTCTTTCTTGCTAATACTGGGCTGTATTCACTAGCAGACACTTATGAAAGTGAATTGCTGTTGCTGGTAGTTCCTCGGAATTTACTTGACCTCTCCTTCCTCCTTCCGTCTTGGGTGGCTCCAGAGCCTTGTGTAAATTCCTACAGGAACGAGACAGCTTCACCGGCAGTATCTGTATCAAGTAGAATTTTGAATCCAGTGGAGACACAGGTGATGGCCAGTGGTCAGGCTGTGTCCTCCTACGCTAATGTGCTGAACACAAAGGGTTGCACTATGCACAGCAAGGGTGGCCCAAGGGTCGTGAGCACTCCTGTTTTTTAGAGTGGGAATAAAGTTGGCGTTTTGGCCAAGCATTTCTCTGTTAGCTTCCTACACTCTTCCGTTGATCATACTCTGCACGTTGGTGGGAAAGAAAATACACAGGGGTTCCGCCACTGAGCAGTATATGAAGCTGGTGATGTTGGGATCCTCTTGCATGTCTCCCCTTGAGCCTGGTGTCCAGTAAATTTCCGAGTTATGTTAGGTGTCCAGAATGGTAGCTTAACCTGTCTTATTGGTCATGCTGATTGGGGCACATCCCTGTCAGCTAAAGTTGCCATGTTTCCAATTCTTCTGATATAAACTGTCACCACTTTGTGGTATAACCCATCAGTCACTTTGCTCTTCTCAGAGGGGTGTTTACATATGCACGAAAAGTTGCCTGAACCCTCAAGACTGTCCTAGACAGCTCAGTGAGGGATTCATGCATCTTGTGTAGTACTACAGCCACTGACACTATTAAAGGACAGGAGGGAGGTACAATGTGAGGAGGGAAAGCCTCCGTGGTCTGCCTATTTCAGGGTATTCCAGGGTCCTAGAAGGAATGTCAGGAGTCTCCTTGGCATGAGGAGAATATAGAGAGTTTGGAGGACATGGGAGTTGGGGGAGAATATCGTGATGGGCCATAGCGTTCAAGGAGACAGCTACCTCCTGTGCCCCTTCCCCTCCCTTGCAGCTCGTGTGGTTCGGCATAGGTTGGGAACCAGAGACAACAATGTACCTTCATGGAGGTGATAGTAGAAAATATTTGCCTTGGGAAGTTGATAGTTTTATGATGGGGTCAGGTCCTTATTTTCCCTTTCACAGTCATTGGGTGTTTGGGTGTTGTTGACATCTTGGCTGTGTCACCTCCTCTGTGCACTGCCCTAGATGCGTTAAAAATGGCCACAGACGTAGGAGGGGCTTCACTCTCTTATATTGTTACATAGTGCAACAGTGGGAGGGAGTACTGGGCAGGATGTGCTGTTGCTGTTGTTGGTAGTTCTGTATCCTTCCTGGCGCACTGTATTCTCTCATCTCCTTTGTATTCCAGGGTTTTCTCCTGTAACTATAGGGAGCCTTAGGTGCTGCATGTGCTCTGCATTTGCCTATTTTCCAGACTGGCCCTGATGAGTTTCTGGGTTCAGCTACTAAGGTGTCCCCCGTGTACCTAGAACTGATGTAGTCCAAATGTGTTACTGTCAGGTCCTTGTCCTTTCCTGATTGTAAATAT